GAGGGCACGTATTGAATGGAGCACTGGGTGTTATATGCAAACAATGAATCATGGAACACTACATCTAAATAAATAAATAAATAAATAAATAAATAAATAGGAAAAAAAGAACATTAAAAAAAAGGGCTTACTGCTGATAGAAACAGGTAGGCAATGATGAGGAGGTCAGCGTCTTTCTATTGTAGTTGATTTCAGGCCATTAAATATTTGCAAGTTCTTCTGAGTGTTATGTCTTACTACTCACTTTGGTAGTTCTTTGTCTCTCACCTTAGTGTCTTAGCCAAAATTTCTATTATTAACACTGTGACATAAAAATGATTCAATAAAATTCACTAAATGAATAATTCCAATGAGAGAAATCATAAAATTATTTGTGAAAAATGAAAAATGCCTCTGATAAAATTCAGTATCTATTTAAATATTTTTAACAAAGTAGGATTGGATAGATAATTTCTTAGCTTGATAAAATATATCTATCTCAACCCTCAAACCAGTGCAATAATTAAAATGTGGTGGTGTCCACTATCACCACTATTACTTAATGTATTCTGGAGTTATCAGTCTCAACAATTAGAAGAGAGAAAGAAATGAGAGATGTAAAGTTGGAAAGCAAAAGATAAAATGATTATTTTTCTCAACAAATGATATAATATCATACCTGGAAGATCCAAAGAATCAAATCTAAGAAAATCAATGATGTTGCTGTGGGTTGTTCTATAAAAAATAATAACCAAAAATCAATGATCCTTTTATGTAGTTACACAAAAACCAATTTGAAAATATAATTGAGAAAAAAGGATGAAATAACAGAAGAAGTGCAATATTTAGAAACAAACTTGTAAGAAATATGAAAGATATACACAAAGAAAGCTCTAACGTGCTAATACCCAAAAGTATAACTGAAAAAAGAAAAAGCATTTTCTATTCTTGAGTGAGAAAACATATCATAAAAACATAATATTCTCTAATCCTGAAAAATTAATTTGATCTCAATAAAAATACTAATAAGTGTTTTTCAGAACTAAATAATCTGATTCTAAGTTTTATGTGGAAAAAAGAGTAGCAATAAATTGCTTATATTACAGATATTGGAACAGTATAAATACTACAGAATTTAAAACAGCAACTGCTTGGATAGGCAAGTAGATCAATGGAACTAAATTGAGAATCCAGAAAAAGATACAATTTATTAATAAAGGATTTCGGCATCTGATATAAATCATATTATATTCTAATGGTGAGTAGATGAATTATTCAGCAAATAAGGATGAAACAGCTAAATGGGTACTAAAATTCAAAGACTTAAATTAAAAAGTGAAAGCATAAATATACATGAAGAAATCATGAAAGACAAAAAACTTGTTCTTGGAGAGAAATAGTTTTTCTAGAGATAATATAAAATACTTAAACTATAAAAGAAAAGATGTGTAACTTCACATAAAAATAAAATATGAGAAGATAAAATGAGAAAAAATAAATACAATTGACAAAGGATGGGTATTTGGATTATATATAGCTTTCCCAAAAATAAATTTTAGAAAAAGGCCAGTAATCCAACAAATGTGAGTTGAGACCATGAAGAAATAGTATATAGAAGGGAAAATACAAATTACTGTTAAGTGTATAAAAAGAGTCTAAACTTCACAATAAAAGATAAGAAAACTGAAAGTACAAAGAAAATGTTCATGTATAAGATTGTCAGAGATATTGAATTAAGTTGATGCTCTGTTGGTGAAGGTGCAGGGAAATAAGCACTCAAAGGTATTGGTGGAAATGTAAATTGGTATAATTCTGTGGAGGGCAATTTGTAATATCTATCAAAATGAAAAAAATACACATATGCTTTCGCCACCAATATTGCTTCTAGAAATTCATCCTAAAGGGCCACTCGCACAGGTAGAAAATAATCTATGCATAAGGATATTTACTTCACTGATATTTACAACTGCGAAAAGGGTGGAAATAAGCTAATTTTCCAACAATAAGGCACTACTTAATTTAATTACACATATTCATGTGGCCTTTAAGAAAGATGAGGAAGTTTTATATGTATTGATATAGAATGATCTCTAGAAGTTGCTATTATATTATGTAATCATGTAATAGTATGACAAAACTGAAACCTACTGAACACTGCAAATAATGCCACGTTATTCATGGTGAATGAGAGGCTACTTTTCTCTGTATGGCCTTTTGCACATTCTGAATTTTGTAGGATTTGAATTTTGCAACATGTGATTAATTATATCTGTTCAAAAGCATTTAACTTAAATCTGTTAAAAATAAAGAACCCTGATGATGATGATGTTGATGATAGCTACCATATATTGAATTCCTCAAAGAGGGGCTTTTATATATTATCGTACGGATTTATATTTATTTGAGAGTGAGAGTGCTCACATCCTCGAGCAGTGGAGGGGGAGGGGCAGAGGGAGAAGCAGACTCCGCTGAGATTGGAGCCTGAGGCAGAGCCCTAGGCGGCTCAATCTCATGACCCTGACCCTAAGATCATGACCTCAGACGCTCAACCAACTGAGCCACACAGGCGCCCCATATTATCTTTTATATATTATCAATTTTCATAGTGACTATTTAAGACCCATTATATAATTCCCATTTTAAAGATAAGGAAACTGAGGCTCAGAGAGGCTAATTAATGTGCTCAATATTATAGAATTAATAGCTTACTTACCATCTGGAAATCAGTTATGTCTAACTTCAAAACCAGAGATATCCAAGATTTGGCCAAGTTCAACTAATCATCACATTTAACTAAGTTTAAATAGATGTTAACCATTTCTCTTCCTCATTAAGCCACATAGCACAACTTTTTCTTTTTAAGTGCCAAGTTTGATATAAATTAGCTAAATTTATTACTATAGTTTGTGATTTTATGTACTTAATCTTGTTCTTTTGAAAGATCCAATTAA